AAATCTTGTTGGTCTAACAAAAGATATCATCTCTACTACAAGTCCTGATTGCCTTTATATATCCAAACATTCATAAAAAAGGGGATTCCCCACCCCAAGTTACACCTCTACTCTTTACCAAGCTACAGTACAGACCTTGCCTGGGGAGGGGAAAGAAGCAGGCTAGAAAAGACAGCAGAGTAGACATGTGTTGTCCATGCAGCGTTCATGAGCAGATGATCGGGGCCATAGCAATGAGCAACGGCCGTCTGTAGTCACGGGTGGACAAGTGGATCCAATTAACCAAACATCAAAAAGCAGGTTTTCAAAGTGCTTTTGGTTCCAGGGTTTGATTTGGGTCCCTCTGAAGTTTTTAAGGGAACATCCTTAAGGTGATTCCCAGACCGTGGACACTCCCAGCACTGGTATTTAGACTGGGGTAGTGTGGGGTAGCACCAGGAGGGTTTCTGCATCTCACCCTAACTCTTGAGTCATGAGTTTACATCTCCTCCTGCTGCCCCCAGTCAACCCCAAAGGATACCTGATCAGTTGGGGTAGTCTAAGGTGGTCAGATATGATGCTGGTGCCCTCCCTGCCTTGCGTGATGTGGGCTATGGAAGCTAACATGCCTTAGCCATGCCAGCCCCATGCACCTGCTAGACATGGGCAGACCTGGAGACTCCCATAGTGCTGCAGCAACCTCTTGGCAAAAGAGAAACTCCAACAAGGAAGAAGGCTGCATATTCCCTAGAGCTCAGACATAAATGTCAAAAGGAGTGGATTTGTGTCTTTCAAGCTCTGTTGCAAAAACATGATCCTTTTGTTCATCTAAATGCTTCCAAATATTTGGTTAGGCTTCAGTGGGTGAATTCACATTTTCTCACACTATCTGAGCCACTGGCTCTCATTTTTGCCCAGGAACGGGGGCTCTCCCCAGTGAAACAAAACAAAGTACTGGGGAAAACGTCACATTTTTTGGTTGCAAAACAGAAGAAAGCAAGCCAAAAGCTGGACTCTTCCCACTGCCGGGGGCCCAGTGCCTTTCAGATTTAAATGCAATTGTGGCAAATCAAAGACTTGAGGCTTCTGCCACTCTGAAGCCCAGTACTTCTTTCAATACCAGAATGGAAAGATGAGCTGAGGTCGGGACTGGATGGGGAAGCTGAGCCTTAGCTGGGCTCTTCTGACTTGCATAGGGGGAAATCAAAGCCACATGAACTCTGTTAAAGGCCCAAACCAATCTTTTTTTGGGGTGGAAGCTGAAGGGTGTTGATTTTCTTTTATCACCACCATGCACGCTGCATTGCTCAAGCAATGCAGTGTGGTCACTGGAAATTTGCTGCATCAAATGACCTTGTTACGGGGGAAGAGCTCTGGGTGTTTTTGACTCTGCATGCTGCTTTGGAGGGCCTGAGAGGCTTTCTGTCATGCCTGCCATCGTGACTGAGCCATTTTCATTTACATTTATAGGCTCTTTTGTGTCCTTCTCAAGAAAGAGAAGTCGGAGCATGATGCTGAAGCTAAGGCTAAAGGCCAAAGCTGCTGTAGGACCTTATCAAAGCCCATGGATTCGGATCAGACCTCGCTGTTTAAATAGCACCACAATAGCACCATGTCTAAACTGACTGGGGAGGGAGGGGATGAGGCTACAAAATGCTCTGTGGCTTGTGAAGAGAAACCTGAAGACTACGTACCGGGGTGCTCGGCCAGCATAGAGTCGTATTCATTGCAGGTTTGAATCCCGTCAAAGATGTTTGTGATGCATTCCCACCACAGGCCCCGGCACTTTGTACTCACCTAAAGAAAGACAGCATGAGTGTGTGCAGGCAGCACACCAGGATGGTCATCACAGGCCATGTGGGCAAGCACCATCCAGCCACATGGGCTGACCGGGGCTGGGGTTGCTGCCCCCTGGTTGAAGACATGCAAACCTACTAATCCAGTTGAATGTTGTCTGGAATGGCTCCAAAATCCACCTAGAAAATCAAGTACTTTTGAACTGGTTCGCTGTGAACCAGATAACTGTTATTGGTGGACTCCAAGTGCTCTGTGATATGAGTCTGTGAGAAGAGAAAGTAGTGGTGATGGTCATAACGCCAAAGCCCGCTGCACCAGGGACATTTTCTGCTCCTGAGAGAGCAGCTTCTAGTGCACAGTTTGCATAATCCTATTTATCCAAGTGCACCCAGCCCCTGTGGTGCTGCTCTGCACACCCGCCTAGAAGCGTAGTGATGCTCACGCTAGCACACACTAGCCAGCCAGAGTAAAAAGCCATGAGAGTCTCTGACACTACAGGTCTTTCCCCTACAGAACAAAAGGCGAAGGATTCTTCCTGCTCTGCACCCACAAGCAGTGCCACTTCCAGCTCACCCAGCCATTCATCATTTACCCGCGTGCCCGTATTCAGCAAGGCAATGGGCTCATTAGCGGCATTAGAGAGCTCATTCCATAGGTATTAATGCCAAGGGTGCCTGACGAGCTCATTTGATATTCACGCTCAGGGCAGGTACGTGACAGGAAGGCCAGGCATCAACCGAAACCCCGTGTTAATGGAGCACTCAGATGAGACTCAGACGGAGGTGCCTTTGTGCTGGGAACACAAGGTTAAACCACCTCTGTTAATGCACTGGATTATTCATCATCACTGTGTAGCTTGGAAGGAGCCAGCAGTTCCCTCCTTAACTCGTACTAAAAAGCAAAGCCTGGAAAGTACACTGGAACTGTAGCCCAAGAGATTGAGGAGCTTTGTCTCAATACTTCGTGGGTTGCTCCAGTGCCCCCTGCATTTCCTATGCCGGGTCAAGGACACAGCAGACACGGCAGAAACGGGGAGGACAAAAGCTGGTGAGGACTTTTGATTTCTCCTATTCAAGGCCAGATCCCGAGTGGGCATCGGTGGATAAAGTCTACTGACACTTAGACTCATAAAAAAGGAGGGTGTGAAGGGACCCCAGGAGGTCACATCTAGTCCGT